TAAATATATAATATATATTATTTATATTTGCAGTATATATAAAAATATATTGCAAATAGAGCAGTAAAACTGTACTTTACTTGAGTGTAGCTATGATAAGCACCTCTATGGGTCTAAACATAATGAGGTAATTCAAAAGGAGTAATCTGATACCTTTTTATTTCTATATTGTCTAAAAAATTCTAAGCATACGACGAAACTCTCAAATTTATTTATTGAAGTTATTAGCTGGCAGCCCTTTACTTTTATGATAGGAATATGCAAATGGCAAATAAAGACTACAGCTTTGCAATTTACTGTACAAATTGTACTTACTTGTGTTGCTAAGAAAAACGTTTTAGTTTTTAAGCCCAGTGGAGCTTTTCCAGTTTTCTCCAACAGGACATAACAAACTAATGAATTAATCAAATCTCATACATTGCTAAATGACAGAATTTGCGTAACTTACTCTATGCATAGAAGACTACATTAAATGGTAAATATCACAATTACAGCTACTCTTGTGTCTCCTATTTGTCCTAAACAAATGCAAATAAGTAACTTTAAATATTTTTAAACTACTGGAAAAACATTTGAAAAACACATGTAAATTCCTTGTGAGAGGAAGAAAAACCATATAAAGCTTGCAATTTTTATGTTCACCCTTGTGCAAATAAAGATCAGGAAAAGCAGCAGCAGACAGAAAAAAGTGCATTTGCCCCTTTTTTATTTCTCACGTTAAAAACTGATGACTAGAGCGATCTGGCTCAGGTTTTCCAAAAGAACAAACTCTCATAGGTGAATATCACGAGTTTCAGCTTTCAGTAAGTACGGCAGATGCGTAGGTAACTGAAGATCTTAGAATGGGAACACTTAGTCTTCATTCTGTTCTATGGACATTACTCACAAAAAATACAGATTTGTGCAGCATTGATAGTCAATACTTTAATCTAAATATTTTCTCTTTTTTTTTTTTTTCCCCCCAAAGCTTCCTCTGCAGAACTAGTTAGTCAGAACATAGACTTTTACTTGTACAGGATCTACGTCACCGTGAGAGACAGCCAAGGCCGACGCTGCCTTAAACCACACATAATCCCAGTGCAAGCTTGTCAGTGCGACAGTCGTAACTACTGCACCAGCGGGGCCACGAGAATCATTATCATCGGTGGCGGCGGCAGCGGTGGCAGCGGCGGCAGCGCTGGTGGCGCTGGTGCTGGGGGCGGTGTTGTCAGTGGAGGTGGTGCTGGGGGTGGTGTTGGTGGGGGTGGTGTTGAAGGCGGAGGAGGCCAGGAAGGCGCAGGAGGAACAGGTCAAGAAGGTGGTGGTAACGGTGAGTTTAGACCTGGAGAGACTATGGACCACACAGACTGGACGGGTTACACCGATGCGTACAGTGACGGTAACGAAGGATATTCTGCAGCCACTGATGATATTTATGGAAGCGGAAATTACGGCAGAAGATTGCCATCTACTACCACACTTAGCGGTACTGCCATTGGCCTGATGTTTCTTGGCGGATTAATATTTGTTTGTAAGTATAAAACTAAGAAAACAATTTTATTCTTTTTCTAAAAACTGTAATTTTTTTAACTCTTCTAAAGTAAAGTGACTTTTCTTTGTTGTTAGTTCTTGGTTGTTAACCTGTTGGCTCCTGTGGGCCATTTGACAGCGAAAAAACTGTCTTTTAAATTTTAAGAATTTTTATGTATTTTATATACTACAGATTTATATAGATATTTCATTCAGAAATAACTACCCTGTCACTTACAAATTACACTTTGCAATTCATACTTCCATTACGTTTCTAAAAGAAATGGACAAGTATCAGCTCCAAGTTGGGTATGAAAAGATGCAAAGTACAAGCTTCCTCTGAACTCCAAGCCTGATTTCACTAGCAGAGCAATAAATACAATAAACTTAAATTTTGAACCTTTTGGCTATTGCTGGCAGACATCACATCTATTAAAAACAAGTATTAGTGATAAGAGGATCGAACCAGATCATTCATTCGTGTGTCCCAGTATTTTCAAAGAAATATGAGTTTCAGGGATAAGAATGACTCAAGTTAGACTTTATGCAAGCAGTTACTTCTCAGAACACCACAATCAGATGTGATCATCTTTCTTCCACGGCCTGGGCATCAAGTAATCTACATCTAAAATTTCCCAATGCAGAAATACTGACCACAAAACCAGAGGAAATAGACTTTTCCCCTGATTTTTTTGAGGAGGGTAGTTTGTTTGCGGTTTTGGCGTTCGATGTTCAACTGAGAGGTTCAGACGCTTTGCTTAGTCTGGTTTAGGCAACTGTTCCCCACCCCCGCTTCAGTGACACGAGGTTACTAGCCCAGCCATGGAAGTTAAGGACCTAAAGATAGCCAGAATTACTATCGCAGAGCCTTTCTAAAATGAGCAATGTTTTCAACATTGGCGTTGAAAGCATCCAGCAATTTCCAACACCGAGTTCTTGAAACAACTAGGCTTAATGCAGCACACTGGGAAACCCGACTCACCCTCTGTAATCGTTTGTTGAAACGGGTTTGGGGTTTGCCTCTATTGTTGTTTCAAATCAAGCATGATGTGTATGTGATGTGAATAATGCAACTGGAGCCCTAGCCAAAGCTCAGCGTAGCCGGGCGGATATCTCTGCGCTGATGCTCATGTGTCTATTACTGCTAACGCGGATTTCTTTCCAATTACAATATCTGAAGAGACAAATGCAGGTTTGTATATCAAGAATGAGTATCGCTGCATGCTATACACAGCAAGACTGGTTCTGTTTGTTTAATTTTCATATGCAACTTCTATTCATTCAGCTGAGTTAGATCAAAGCCTGTTCCCAGGTGTACAGGCATAAATTTGGAGGAACAGCCCTACTCCACCCCCGCTTTGCTCTGCTGTAACCGAAGGGACAAATCATTCCGAATTTCCAAATACATACCTTTCCAAAAGCAGCTAATGATTCTGAAAGCCAGACTTGCAGGCTGTTCAGTTTGAAACATTTTAAAAGGCATATTTTCAAGAGTTCTTGAGCACCTGCCCTCCGGGAGAAGCAGCTATTCCTGTGAGGAAGAGATGTCCTGAATCTCTTTTTCCTGTTTCTTTCCTGTTAAGTGATTCCAATTTTGATGTCAATGAGCGACTGTTGTGGCTGTGGACCTGGCGCTGCAGCTGGAGTTGGAACTGGATTTGAACCTGTACCTGAATGCACCGAAGGGGCAATTCATCCATGGGGAATAGAAGGTGCACAGCCTGAAGACAGGGTCAGTACATCCCACGTATCTAAAACCTGCAGTAACTCATATTTACAGAAAAGACTGCATTTGGCTAGAAGCAGGACAGTGATTGTAGCATTGTGTCAGCCTCTAAAAGAAGCCTGGTATTCTCAACAATTCCCAGGTAGATACGAAAGGTGATTCTTAATTAACGTTTGCAGATGGAGTCTGCGTGTCTGAAGTTACGTTCAGTTAGCTTGGCCCAACAGTTGGGTGTTACTATTCCCTCAGCTCAAACACAATAACTAGCAAGCTTTTTCAGTGCAAAGCAGGACAAGCTAACACAAACCATCTTCACCGATCACCTTTTACCTTGACCATGAAAAAAACCTGGATGGAGCCTTTTTTTGGTTGGTTTTTATGGAGATGGTAATTAATAGCTATTGTTATCAGCTTAGACTGCTAATCCCTTAACACAATTCACAAAGTCTTTGTCTTCATACGAGAATTTCAAAGTCATAACTCAAGGAGTGAACATGTTGTTTTCCAGGATGTCTCGCACATTCTTGCCCCAACAACAGCTGCGGGAGGTGATTTCGGTGAACCCTCTGGTAAGCAGATCCTAAAATTTTATGTGTGCGCTATCCTAAAGCTATCTTTCAGAACTTCATCTCTTCTGATTTGAGGAGCACTTTGGTTTCCCAGCTACAAGCCATGGTCTCCCACTCCTCCATCTACAGACAGGCAAACTGATGCTAGTAGGACTTCCAGTATGAATAAAGGATCTGAGGTTTAAACCCTTGAGCAGATTCATTTCTGCAAACTAGATTTATCATGAAATACCCGCCGAGGCTTTCAAATCTCAGGCAATTTTTCTTTATCATTCCAGCTAGTGAATGGAGGGTCTTTTCAAGACACTAGTTTTAGTAGAAATCAATCTTGAGGCCAGAATAAGGAAATTTTATTTCATAACGCAGTGGTGAATGATTCAGTTCTTCCCAATTTTCAGGCTCTGCTTCCCGCAAGGGAGAATAGGACAAGTCAAGTTAGGACAACAGGTCAAGTAGGCAGTGACTTAGTGACCATTTGTGCACTAGCCCAGACAGAAAGCTGGTATATAGGACAATAAATTTTTGCTTCTGAGATAAAGTTCCCCCAGGAATTCGATGGCCATGGAGAATGAGTCAAGCTCTGCAGTGCCACTTTCTCTTTTTCCCCATTCCTCACTCCACAACAGGAAGGATGCTGGCACAGGTCCATTTTCCCTAGCTCCTGACAGGAAGAAATGTCGCTCTGCAAGACAACGTCTCTGATGACTATTGATTATTCAAAAATGTTCTCATCCTTAAAGTAAAATCAAAAGAGAACATTTTGAGGCATAAACATGAATTAAGAGTCTTTGTTCTCAGGGAAGTTCTGCTGCCATGACAATTGAAAAGTTTAAGACTTTTACACACGTAACTTACTTTATTTCCACTGTTCAGTACCATTATAGTGAAGGCCTCTGGTTCAAATTCTATAAACTGGGACTAACAAAATTAAATTAAAAACCAACATAATTTAGCCTATGTTCCTTGGTGTAATCATAGTCAAGACTACCATGTGCAATTGGTTTATTACATTACATGCTGATATTTAAGACTACTCATTCCTTGTTATCATATAAGAAAAAATCTGGAGAAGATAAAATCCTGTAGGTACGACTTTATCGTAAAGGTCATTTTCATTCTGCATTATGAACACCGACGGTTATTATGATCAGTTGTTGTTCTCCCAAATCCCCCTTAACAATCCAGCGACTAGAAAATGTGAAAGGAGTTACAAAGCTATTTCTTTCCAAAGAGTTTGTGGCAAAACAATTTTAACCCCAAAGTGATCATAAATATACATTTATGTATTTGCATGAATACCCATAAGCATTATCTGATTTTCTAAGGCAAATCCCATGACAGCACACATGCACAGGAGACAGAAGACTCTCTCCCGCCAATTACACGAGTAAATCATTGGTTTTCTAAAGCACAAGTGCACATGCAGCTTAGCCTCAGGAATAAAATCAAGGCCTTAGACGTCTGCCAATATGTGCTTAACTTTAATGGCAGTTTCAATGTTTGGCACGTGCGCATGGATCTGTGACTGAAATTAGTCTAAAATACCTCTAGAAACTCAGCAGTGTCATTGCACTACTTGTAAAAACAACCAGCAAACTCTGTGCAAATTTTTGCAGAACACAGGCAGGATAACTTTTCTTCTTCTGTTTTCAGACATATATACAAACACATACGGAGGAGCAGGAGGAGTAGCTTCTGGTGTTGAAGAAACTACAGGGGTTGGCTATGGCACTGGTACTGGTTATGGAACAGCTGGAGGAATTTCTGGAACGGGGGAAGCAAAAGGATCAATTGGAGGAACAATAAAAGAGTATCGAGAAGGAGGGGTGAACATGGCCTTCCTAGACAACTACTTCTCTGAGGTAATTAATTACTGATCGTCTTTCGTGATCTTCCGTGAGCCTACTGCTAGATTCTCCTCCCCAAGTTACATGGTGGAAATCCAAAATTTGGATTCCACTCAGATTGATGATGTAAGACTGGTGTGAGAGCAAAGCTGATCGTACCAGTAGGAACTACAGCACTAGTAGTACTGCTTTGGAGCTGCTGGTATCCCAGATTTGATTGCCGTTTTGTAAAACTGAGGGACACAGTGCAGTTATGGGTAGCAAGCAATTAAACTGTTTCAGCTTCATAAGTGACCACCAAATTTATATATTTGCCACCTTTTTCGGTGTATGAATACATAACTTTGTGAAACTGTCCACATGTGCTTCCTGTACAGCTTGTTCAATGAAGTGGCTTTAACCCTTAAAGAATTGTGAACACCAGTGCACTTTCTTCCTTATATTAACTGCCATATCTCTTCCCTAAAAGACTTGTGAACTGCAAATGACACAAACATGCAGTTTTGTAATTGGCAACATATTAATTAGCCTTTACATACGGGATAAAAAAAAAAATGCTATGGAGTTTACACGATTAATGGATCAATGGGATATATTTTCATAATTAGTGGGAACTGTGAGGCATAAATACTATAATTGCATATGTCACCAAAACACCAGTTAATATATAAGGATTGCTTTATTTCACAATATAAACAAGATTCAGTGGAGGAGCGGACAGAGCAGTCCTGAAGTCCCCTCACTCACCTTAAATTCTCCTCTTTCCTGCCCAGTCTGCACTGAGCAGCATCCCCAAGGCCATCAGAAATCAGTGACACCCATCCTGCTCAAAATGGATTCCCCTCTGGGCTCACCAAGCCTTCCTTGCTGTGGCCAACCCTCTGTCCCATCCCCTCTGTCCTGGCCTCTCCATGGCTCCCCTCACCATCCTGCTTCACTCGTCTTCCTACTGCTTTGTCCCGATATTGCTGCCCAAAGAGCACATTTGTTCCCCTGCCCCTTTCGCTCTCTCTGTTCACCCCCCAGTCAGACCCACTGACAGCAGACCAAATTTGAGATGTTAAGTGCTTGCAGAAACAAGAATAAAATATCAGTAACATTTGAATAAAACTCATTTCAAGGTCACAAAAATGTTGATGATATAATTGCTCCCACTAATGTCCTGTTTTTCAAGTCAGCTGGGCCTCACTGTGGTTAGGGAACGCTTACTGCTGTTTTAAGTCTTCATGGTTAAAATCCTGATGAAAAGTCACTCTGTTCTACTTTTTTTTCTGGTTTTGCAAACTACAGAAAGCATTTGTGTACGCGGATGAAGATGAAGGTCGGCCAGCAAACGACTGCCTATTAATATACGATCATGAAGGAGTCGGCACTCCTGTTGGCTCTGTGGGTTGCTGCAGCTTTATTGGGGAAGATACAGATGAAACGTATTTGGATACATTAGGACCAAAGTTTAAGACCCTGGCAGAGATCTGTCTGGGCAAAGAGATCGAACCTTTCCCTGACGTCAACTTGCCCTGGCCATCCGTTAACGCCACCTTTCCCAACCCTGAAAGTGATCTAAACCTCCCACCACCCGGAACCACCATCGTTGTCAATGGATCTGCACCGATGCCTCCCCCCGTTGGCACTACAACGATTGTTACCGAAAACACCTACACATCCGGGTCAACCATACAGCCCCCGAGGCCAATGCCGGATCCTTTGCTCCACGGCAACATGACGGTGACTGAGACCTACACCTCCGGATCCCCCTCTCTTTGCGTTGACCCTCTGCGTGCGTCCAACGTTGTTGTCACAGAAAGGGTTGTCGGTCCTGCATCTGCCTCTGATTTGCGTGGCATGCTAGATATCCCCGATCTCACAGATGGGTCCAACGTGATCGTCACAGAAAGAGTAATCGCACCTAACTCCCGGCTCCCGACCTCCCTGAGCATTCCTGATTTGGTAGACGGGTCGAATGTGGTGGTGACAGAAAGGGTGTTCAGGCCTGCCTCCGGCATGCCAGGCAGCTTAATAAATATTCCCTCGGAGTTATCGAATGCCCACAACGTGGTGGTCACTGAGAGGGTAGTGTCAGGGTCTGGGATGAGCAGCCTGGGAGGGACAAGCCTAGCGGGGGCAAACCTGGGGGGCCTGAGCAGCGCGGGTCAGATGCTCAGCGCCGACTGTCACCTTGGCCAGGCAATGGGCACGGCGTCCCCCGGCACCTCCCGGAGAAGAGTGACAAAGTACAGCACTGTGCAGTACTCCAGTCAGTAAGGTCTCTGCCGGCACCCCTTCCTGCCGAAATCGTCATTTGCACCAACGCTCGTTAGCTGCCACCCACCAAGGATATCGTTATTATTTATAACTAGGAAATAGCGCTAAAGTTTCAGGGATTCCTGCTTGTGTGAGGATCTCCGAAGGGTGCCCCGTTTCAAGGTCAAACGCAGGACTCTGTCAGTGAAAGGAAAGTTGAAGTCAGCTTTAAATTTATTTCTTTCTCTCCACCTAGCACGACAAGTGCACAAACAGCTACTAATGTTTTTGGAGAGAGATCTGATTGCCAAGAGGAGCAGTGAGAGGGGATCCTTGTGTGCGTAGACTACCATCATGAATTAATGTCATATAAAAAAGTGTTAAAATACTGTATGCTGAGTGATCTCCCACAATGAGTAGATTTGGGTTAACAGCCCCTCACTGACAAGACCGGAAAAGAACGTAATTAATAACTAGTCAACTCAAGACTAAATAAGCACTTTCAAATGCATCACTTTACTTTGCGTGTAATTCAAGAAGTGCTGCAAAACAGCACTTTCAATCATTTCTCCCACCCCCAACAATAGTTATAAATAATAATCATATAAACACAGTACGTTTTCATTGCTTTCTGAAGTTCTCAGTGAAACAAACACTCTGCCACGGCCTGCCATGCTGTTACCCTCATGGGGAGGAGCGTGATCTGCAATTCGCCGCAGCCCGTGCTGCCGCATTGACACTGTCACCCAGGAAGATGTTGGCTTCATCTTTCCTCCATTGCCATCAGAGCTTTACTTAAATCTAAGAGGACTTCAGCCCTTAGCCAGATTTTTGTGCCAAACTATGACTACCACTTAAATCTCCAATGTCAGGTTATATTAAGAGGGCTATAATATACTGTGACAGCTCTCTTTTCTAATACTGGCAAGAAAATACTGACAAGCTTAGAAGCTTTGTGATGTGGGGAGGCAAGAGCAAGTATTGTATCACTGACACTGGTAGCTGAAGTCCTTCATGAAAAGAAAAAAAACATTTGGGAGCATAAATTTGCTAATAAGCAATGTGGAGAATTGTTATTTCATATGTCAATGTATTTTGCATTGATATTTTGAAAGTTTATTTGAATGTGTTAATTGAAAAAGTCTTTATGATTCTATAATCTTAATTAAATCTGGCTTTTATTTTCCCACAAAAACAGCTCTACTGGACTCTGTTATTCTAATAGTACCTTAATATGGCTTAGAATATGATCTGAAGGAGCAAATACTGAAATACAGTATCTATCTCATTTTACTGCTGTATCATATGTATAGTAACCATAGTGTACGCAACATTGCTTCAGTGTAAATAAAATAGTCAAACAGAGGGACTAGCTTTTTTTTGCTAGACCACCAAATCAGTAGTTTTCCCTGAAATTTTGCTTCTTCAGCTTTGATGGACAGGTTAGCGAAAAGTTTATGAGTTGCCTGTCAGCCTCCCACTCTCCAAAATGAAAAGAAACTTTCAGTTGTGTCTCCAGATTAACTTATCGCAGAAGAGCCGGAAGAGGTTTCTGAGCTGAGACAAGGAAAAGGCTTTTTTAAAAGATGCTTTTGGAAATGCAACTAGATCTGCTGTCCAAGACAACCTGCAGTGCCCTCTGGGTCAATGCCACTGCCATTAACGTCAGTAAGCCCTAGGAGTCATGACCAAACCCAAGGCTACCTCCGGAATGGGTGCTTTTCACGGCTTCAAGCCCTTTTCTGAAGCAACTGTGTTAGAGGGTCTCCTCATAATAGCTGAAGAATTGCTATTTTTGGTTCATCCCGCAGCCTTGATTAGCTCAAGTATCACTAAAATGGCATTGACTTCAGTGGGAATTGCCTCTCCTATGCATTACGTACCAACTGCAAGTACGGTTTCTGGAACCAGTCTTTCAAGGAGGAAAATAAGTACCCATATATAAAGCTATGGCCTTCTATATCTGGAGAATTTGTGCCAAAATTCACTAAAATGGCAACAAGCTCCCTTTCGTTTTGCTAACCACCTATTTGCATTAAAAAGCAAATATTTGAAATACGTATGACTGACCATTTAGAAAGCCTATACAGTACAGCCAAAGCCCACTAGAATTATTTTTTAATGTAAAAAAAAAATAATAATAAAAATGAAGTCTTGTGTAAATATTTCCGTAATCATCTTGTGCAAATCAGAAATATTTTTCCTAATTGTTCTTCAAATAAATAAAACTAGTCTTGGGGAGCACATGCTGAATGCTTTGTGGCCCTCTTGAACAGGAACACTGTGTGAAGTATGAGTGTCTGAACTAACTACGGTCTCTTGCGTGTCTAGAAATCGAAAGGGGAAGAATTAACAGAGAAAAAATGTTTCAAAGGACAGATTTCGGTTATGTAGTAGTTGTCTCCTTCTAGTGCTATCTTTTACCAACTTCTTAAAGATCAACAGCTTATTACTTAATACAATTTCTTGAAAGATTTCTAGCACGTTTTAATATTGGTTTCTCACATCAAACAGCAATAAAATTATCCCTCAGTGCCTTTCTAGAGCATTTCTGAATACTATTTTCTCTTGCTGTGTAGTTTTTACAAACTTTCTTAAAACTGCTTTCTTAGAGGATATTTTTAGGTTACTACAAATCGTGGAAGAAAACTGTACCTGAAGATGTCACCAAGTACTGGGTTCCTTAACAATTCTGTGCAAGTTCTTTTTCTAGCTTTATTATTAAAAAAAGCATAGAGTTTAATCCTGACTAGCAGACATTGGGTTTGTTTCTTTTCCTGCAGTTGTAAGTTAGAAGCCCGCTCGCTGTCTACCTTTAATTAATCATATTCCTTAATAGTGCAGAATGAATGGTTTTCAGGGGAGAAAGACAACTTTGAGTAGTGATGTCAGTCCTGCTCTAAACCATTCAAAACTCTTACTAAAGGTCAGCAGCGTGCAACACCAAGTCTATGGCTTTATTTTTTTTTGACTTGGGTTTGAGGAGCAGGATCCTACAGTGTTACTCGTTGAGATCTTGGCATCCTGAAAAGTGTACTGCCGTGGAAGAAAAGAGAGCCACAAGCTGAGGTTCTTGTTCGATTTCTGTCTCGGGAACACTGTCTGAATTTGAACTGCAGGTTTCGATACTTTTTACTCTGTCCTGATTTTGTGGTAATAAATAACACATTTGAACCGTTGTGAGCAGCACCTACTACGTGCAATATGAAAAGACAATTTAAGCAAAAAATTTTCAAAGTCGACTGTTTTGCTTGAATTAACACAACTGCGTAATTCAGATGCTCGTCACTGTTGAGTAACTAAATGCATCGTTTTCATTCTATTTAAAATATAATTATTAACAGTGTTACTGTGTTTTCATAAATAAAAATATTAGAGATTTATTTGTAATAATTTCTGAATGGCACTGAAAAAATACAATAAATGATCATTTGGAACATCACGTTTTAAGTAGAGTGGCTCAGGGTATTTTTTTTCCATTTATCAGTGGGAAACACGATTTCCTTAAAACTGCTGATTTGTGCAGGAAGATTCTAGTTGTAATTTTCTTTCAGAAAAAAAAAAAAAAAAAGAAAGATAATCTGAAACAAAAGGTGTTGATTTAGAAAGTCAGGGCATCCCAGGATGAAACTATTTCATGTGTCAAATTGACTAAGGTACTTTGGTTTAGGTCATTAAGCAGAAATTTGTGTCAGGTGTCACAGGAATTATAGTACAATGTCCTCGAGCCACCATTCTCTGCCTTGTTCTCTCTCTCTAGGCGGCCTTTTCCGTGATACCTGCAACTCTGAAGCAGTGCTTCAGGGGAGCTGTAGCCTAACGCGGGGGTACCAGCCACAGAGAGGAAAGTGAGCAAAAGCCACTTGAATCCCAGTATTTGGGCAGCGCAGGGATCGCGGGGACATTCGGACCATACAGGTCAAGCTGAGTTGAGCCAAGCAAAACCACTTTGGTTCTGAAAGTAAAACCAGCATGTTTTGACATTTCTGCATCAAGTTTCTTTCTAGTGTCCCATGCCAGTATAACAATGATTTTTTTGTAGAGAGGTTTTTCAAAAGGGTTTATTTTAATGCAGTAAAATACTGCTTTTAAAAAGAGAATCATATATTTATTTCTAAGTCTAATGTGTCATTTTATCACGCCTTAACATTTTGACACCTTTTTTCTCAGTATTGCATACAGCGTGGTTTTTGGCACTCACACATACTTCAGACAATGATTTAAATATCTTTTCAGGAAGTTCAGTTAGGAAAAAGCATTGTGCATCTTCCAATTGATAGCAAAGACATTGCTGTCAGTCTGAGGACACCGCTATTGCCAGTGCAACAAAGATAACTTATCATTCACCTTCTGTGTATTTAGTGCCCAAGCAACTTCAGCTGAAATCTATGGGAGTGCATATACAAACCAAAAACGGGTCAAGTTAACTCATATTCCAGGTGCACTGAAACTTTACAAAAAGGAGAACAATGACAAAGCTACAGTTGGTGACAGTTTTGGATGCACTTCGGTACAATGACAAATCTGTCCTATTTTCTTGTTGCAACCAGTAGTTAAACAACATCTTGTAATACAGGATACAGCACAACAAGGTGTGAAATGGAACAGTCACGAAAAGCCAATTTAGGAAACAAAAGCTGCTTAATGGACCTTCACCCTGACCTTTGCTATTCATCACACATTACTGGGCCTACCTGCAAATTTAGTTAGCTATCTGTTTAGCCCGTTTATTTTTCCTATTTTTTAGGAGAGCTCTAAAAAATAAAATTATCTATATATATATAATTACTTACGGGCTTTTTCCAACTCAGTTATTCAAGATTTGATTCAAGCCAGTAAATAAGTAGGTAAAATAAACAGTAATTTTGTACCTGCAGGCTTTGACCTTACAGTGATCAAGCAACAAAGATTTAGGCAAGGGTCTGTCCAGGTGCCAGTCAAGGCGGGCTCAGGGTGTCAGGGAGGTGAAGCATCTTGTGACACTGGACCAGGACTCAAGAGACCAAGTTCTCCCCAGGACT